GCACCACCGCCGGACCACCAAGGGACGCCGGAGTGCTGCCGCACCACCGCCGTAGTCTTGCCGCACCACCGCCGGACCACCAAGGGACGCCGGAGTGCTGCCGCACCACCGCCGTAGTCTTGCCGCACCACCGCCGGACCACCAAGGGACGCCGCAGTGCTGCCGCACCAACGCCGGAGTATTGCCACAACACCGCCGTAGTTCTACCACACCACCGACGGACCACCAAGGGACGCCGAAGTGCCATCTGAAGCTGAAGTATCCCCTGACACTAAAGTGCCACTACCGATCCACCGCCTGACACCGGAGTGCCGTCGGACCACCACCTGGCAGTGGAGTGACGTTGGACTTTTGTAAAACTCTCAGTTGATATCTATAATCTGGTCGTCTTCAAGGACGAGTCAGACCATTGTATTTTCCTCAAATTTTAGTGGAATCATCTTCAACTGGGCTAGGCCCCATGGTTTTTTTCCTTTCCGGGTTTTCCACGTAAAAAATATTGTGTTCTTTGTGTGTGAACTGGATATCCGTGCAACGCTAAGACGTAGAATTATAACTCTATCGCCGCGTATATTCTAGCCCGCAACAAGTATAAATCATTTTAATTTATTTCCAGATATAATAATGTTCAAATATTTGGTTTAAATTTTAAAAAATGATGCCAAGCACATCTCGACATAGGTCCAAATAAATCTTAATAAAGCATTTTGTTGATGTAAAACTAGAAACTTGTAGATGCTAGAGGCGTGGCAAAATGGTTTGAATTTTATGTAGGTGTGTTAAAATCTAACCGGACTTGAAAAATTTTAGGGTTCAGGTCAACCTGTTTGCCACATGGGTCGGGTTCGAGTTTGAGATTTTGACCTGTTTTTAAAATCGGGTCTAGTTCAAATTGACTTGACAACCTGAAATTTTTACCAACTTCATTGCTCGAGTCAACTTGACCCCATCAGCCCGCCCCGCATGTGGATACCTCGACCTCGTAGTCGCACCCGCGATCCCGCATGGGCTGCACCTGCGCTAGTGCTGGCCTCGCCCGGTCGCCCTGCATGCTGGCAGATGGCATCGCTGGCTCTCACATCTGCTGATAGCGGTCAAGCCTATCCTCGTAGAC